GCCTGCATGCTCCCAATATGACATTTCTTGAGACCTAAAAGTGGAAATGCTCCTTCAGGTGTTTGTCGTACATGTAGTTTCAGAAATGGTAACATGGGTCAGACTGTAGAAGCAGGGAATCAACTCAACTGTTTAGTATGAGGACTTCTGGACAAAAAGCACACTAGTGTGGATAACAAGTCTGACCAATCAAAGTGAGCTGAACAAATTTTTGTTTGTCAACTCTCCCAGAAATGGTAGGTCAGACTGTATATGAACCTTGGACCCTGAAAATATTATCTTAACCACAAAAAAGGAGGATTCAGATAAGATCTCATATCTTACCGGCTTTTAACTACAATGCTTGGCTCGGCTCACATAGGCAACAAACTGAAACTCTTTGAAATGCTTTCTAGCTAAGTAGTAATGAGTGCAAATATTAGACAATTTTTACAATTTTATGGTTTTGTTTTTATTGCTTTAAAGTTATTATGTTGTCTAAAATAGGTCTCTTAAATGACACTGAGTCTCAATGGGATTACTTGTATAAATAAAGGTTAAATAAAAAAAAGAAAGATACTAAAGGTAGGCTCATCAACAAAAACCGTTAACCGAGCATAACTCTGCTTGAATTCTGTCATCATCACGAGGAGAGCTGCTGGGGTGAGTCCTGATGTGGGAGCTTCAGGACAGGTGACTGACCTCGGCAGATGAATCCGTCTTGGATGATGGTTTGTTTGCAGACGCTGCAGTGCTTTGCCTTCTTGAAAGTCTTCACCCGGAACGTGTGGGAATGAAGCGCCTCCAACTCCTCTGGCTGCAGTCAGGAAAACAACAACAAAAGACAAAAGAGGAGGAATGTTAGTTTAAAAAAAAGTGTTGCAAGCTTCACCGAGTCCAGGTGGCGTGAGTCATTTTATTGAGCGGGATTTTTGTGCCCAGAAGATCATTCAAAACACAAATGAAATCATTTTATAAGCTAGACAATACTAAATCTATAAAGTCAAACTGTAAATCATATATCAATCCTTACATTCATCTCAGGAGCAACCCCTCCTCCAGAGGCAAATCATTACAACTAAGTTATTTGTGCTTAAAAACTGTGCTTCAAAGTCCTCTAAAGTCCTCCCAGGAAGTAAAGCTGTGGGGGTTTAAGCTGTCAGAAGCAAACAAAAAAAAAAAAAAGAAAACACTGTCTTATCTCCTGTTTTTCTTTCTTTCAACCACCTCCTACTCCTTTCTCCTCCCCACATTTGACCTGTCATCTCTTTGCCCTCCTTTGCAGGTGTGTTACACAACTCTGGAGAAACTTTATCTCCCAGGCCTGTTAAACATCCCGAGTGTCTGTCTGCAGCCCGCTGTTTTTCCTTCACCATGTACCATCCAGCGCCCAGCCCTTTTCCTGTCGGCTTTGTAAACGCAGTTTAAGGCCGTGACACACACGAAACACAAAAGTGAGACCGACTCCTGCAGGGTCTTTATGAGAAACGTGCGTCATACTTCCATAAGCCCCCCCCCCCAAAATGTTCAATCATGGGAAACGTGACATAATTTTTGTTGTTTATTTGCTCAGCTGGTCTCAGTTTGTGTCTTAAGGGAATAACAGCTTAACGGATTATACTGTTAAAGACACTTTTATATTTAATTAGAAAATGCTGAAATGCATTGGGCAAGAACTGCAAAACAAACTTACACAACACTGACAGTATAGCACCATGTAATACCTCTGCAATCCTACTGAATTCTTCTCTGTAAACGTCTCCATGCATGTGTAGGATTTTTTCATGCATCTAAGTGCCTCAACTCTACATACCTTCAGTACTGGGATGAAAGAGAGAAAATGGATGTTTTCTCAACACAGGAAGTGCCCGTTAGCATGGCGTTCAGCCATGAGGCTTCCATTAAGAGTGTGTGTGTGTGTGTGTGTGTCGGACAGGACTAAAAGTGACCATGTGGTTGGCATATTGGGGGACGTCTTGTACAGGAATTCTCAAACTGGAAGACCACAGAGTCTTATTGAGCATGTTAGAAGGAAACTCAAGTAGTTCCCTCTCTGAAAGAGCTGCCAGACCACCAACCATCACAACCTTAAAACCACTAATGCCCCCCTCTGTGTTCATTCTCCTCAGTCCAAGCAGGAATCTTGTTGGAAGGCAGTGAGAAATGACAGCACAGGAATAACGCTTCAATTATAAATCAAACTAAGTATCTGTTGGACTAAGTGTGTAGTCTTTCTTCCCATTTAACTGCTCTACAGTAAAGCTAACTGGTCATCAAAGTGCTACACTCCCTGTAACAACAATAGCTGTAATTTCTTTGCACTGTTAGATATGTAATTCCAGAGAGGTTTGGATTTACATGGTTTGGTGTTTAACAGTCTTTTCTAGATTTGTTCTGGTCTGTTTTGTACAACTAATAGGCAACATCAAAGGCATCGTGGGAATTGTATGATTAAGCTTTCTTGGAACTTGATTTATATTAGTGATTGCAGCTGTCTGAGCCTGGATTTCCTCAATGCAATGTCATCTGGGAAGCAGTTAAAACACAAGCAGGTAATATTTCAGGTTACTCTCTAATATAACATTGAGTTCAACACTGCAAACGCTAAAATGACTCAACAAGACTTGACAAAGATTTAAAGTGTTTAGGTATGACAGGCCTACAACATTTCCTTTAAAGGGCAAAAGCTGTTATTCTTGCACTTCCATGGACTCGGGGAGGAATGTCGAAACTTGTTGATGTAGGTTTTTTAAAATTTATCAGCATTTCCTGTCATACAGGCTCAATAGTATCATCCATTAAATATGGCTGACTGGCACAAAGACAGATGCAATTTTTTGGGTGTGAAACCTGAAGCCAGTGCAGAACTGCATGAAACCTGCATTTATAACAGGCGTCAGGGGACAATACCAGGGGTGGCAGAAACATCTCTTGTCCGACAGAAGTCGGAAAACAGCCTTCAGCCTTGACCCTTAGTAAACATTTTCCTGAAGAGTTTATGACACCAATCAATAACTTCTTGACATTTAATAGAGTCCTTTTTGCAAATATTGGTCATTCTAGGCATCAGACAAGAACATCATCCAGGATATGCTCAAGAATTTGTGATTTACAAATCATACAGCTTCACACAAACATCCACACTTGCACGCACATCTGGGTTCAAAACGCCAAGATGTCAGTGATGAAAACACTCATCTTGAGTCTTGGGAACTCTACAGAAATACATGATTATCCATCATGTCAACTTCCACATAGTGTTGAAGCAAAGATCCACCATATTAAAAGAAGTTTTAGCAAGATTGTAGTGTCAGTATGTTCTGGTAGCAGACATCTCTCTCCAGAGGTCTTAAAAATAATATTCAAAAGGCTGGCACTGTGAATAAGGCTTTACAGCTTTATGATGCATTACACTTTCTCAGAATTGATGGTTTCTCTGATTCACGAGCTTATCCAGAGGTTTAGCAACTTAAACATACTCCAGCAGCTCTATGCAGCACTTTTCTGTTTGTTTTTCAGAGCCGCATGGCAACAGCAGGACAGCCGACCCTTCATTCCATCTCCCGATTACGCCTTGCCACAACATAATGTGATTAGCTTAATCTAGTTAGACTGAAATAATGACCATGGCTGTGCAGGATGCACCATGTTGGCAAGGGGGCTTTTCTGAAGAGGGGTGAAGGTCCCTGGTTGGCACTCATATGTATCTTGCCAAGGCCCTGGCTGCCACCTGCTGGTTTAAGACTTTGGATATGGATTTAGACTTTGAGAGGCTGGAAAAGTGTGATACGTGGGTTTAATTGTATGCTCGGTCACAGTAATTCAAGCATGTCTAAGCTTTGCCAAATTACACCAAATTTAATGGACACTGATACTGCTGGAATGAGGCAGGGCGCAGATTACGTTTATACAGAAACACTGTTTTTACTTCCAGGCTGTTGGGGAATCAACTGTCAACATAAAGAGTCTATACTATCAGCAGGCAGGTGGCTGGAGGAACACCTGCCTTTAAATTGCTTTTTGTCAAATGTCTATTCTCAAACCACACAATCAAAGACAGTCATTAAGTCCTGTGGGGGCTACAATGACATCACCTGTTTTGGATGCAATTACCACAACGATACTTGGGAAAGGATGTGAGGCAGTAGTGCGCTCTTTAGTGAACTCTCATGTACTCTGCTTCCACTGGTACATTTTAAATTTTATTTAAAAAAAAATAAAAATACATTGCATCATAACAATACAGTAAATTAAGCTAACAGCAAAAGAAAGCTCCCAGATGTCTCTAGTGAAATAAAAAAAAAATATGAAAAAATTACAGGAATCTGTTTTTAAAACAAGCCAGAGTATCAAAACGTTAACATAAAGTAAAGCAGGTAACGTAAAAATAAATGGAAAATTAAATGTAACATACTACAAACCCAGGTGTCAGTTGCTGGGGGGATGTGATCATCCTAATTCTCCCCACAACTGAAATCCCATCACATGGTTATCCTCAATGAGAAGCCCATCATTTCCACTCAGGGCTACAGGTCTTTGTGTCCTGTTTTCACTCAGATTTTGATGCACATCTCCACAGCTTCAACATTACATGACACAAAAGAACACCACTCAGTAGTTTTTTATTGTTGTTTGTTTGTTTTCTCATCAGCAAAAGTTCTACAGCGGAGCCAAAGCTAAAGGGTGACATGAAAATCCTGCAGACCACTGACAAGTCAGGGAGAAACACAGAACATCAAACTCGCTGGCTTCCTTTTCTAAAACCAGAGTTCATCTCTTTGCTGTGGCATACAGCCTCCCACCAAAAAAGCCATCCTTGTTTTATCATCCATCATTTCTGCTTATACTACCTTTATGTCACGTTGGCTTCACACACCTATGATGACCTGAGTACCGTCTGCAGTGGAATAGAGAAGTTTGGACTCCTTTAAAAGTAGATGCCTTCTCCATGCACAAGGAAATTCATTTTAATAAATTTGGGAGTTCCTGTGGAGCTATAATCATGAACTAGGCATGGTCATGATGGTTACGAATAGTCATTAAACTATAAAAACAAATCTAATCTAAATCTGTTTCCTGTCATAAGTAGAGGTATTTTATAGGTATTTTTCTTCTCTCTTTAGTAATGAGACAATGTTTTGTAATTCCTTGTCTATAACAAACTTCACCTTTCTTTCACCCCTT